TGTTGTGGTTCTGAACAAACGCTGGCTTGGAATGCCAAAGCAATGTTTGAACGCCATCAGGCGCAGATGTTATAAATGAGACGGCACAAATAATCTCAGTGTGGTGTTCTCAATTTCCTTTTTGCATTCCAAGGGTGGATGTTGGCTGGCTGGCAGGCAGACGGACGGATGGACAGACAGACAATCAGCCGGCCGGATAGCAACTAAATGATGTTTGCCCATTGATTCCAAGTCTTTGTTTGTAATCATCGGCTCAACAGGCTGTTGATGCTGCAACTGTTGCCGGCTGGTTATTTTTTTTTTCATGGGGCTGGGTGACTGACTGACTCACTATCCTGACAAATTTGCCAAAACTATAATACAGACATGCACACACACACTGACTCACATGATAAGGGAGTGAGCCACCACGACAAAGGAAGACGATCATTATTTGCCCAAGAGCAAAATGAGGAGGATGGATGGAAATTGGTTAAATGTTCTTTGCGGCTGATTTCAAGCCGTGAAATTGTTCTTTGTTTTGTCGTTGAGGGAGAGGGACTCCGATCTCATTCGATCTGCTCAACAAAAAGGGAATTCTTTCTTGGATGATGACATGTTTTGGGTTTTTCGTTTTTTGTTTCGTGACTGTTGCCATTATCATGAGGAGAACAAATCCAACTGACAACTGCAGCTTCAGCTACAGATGTCCGATCAAGAAATATGCAACGGCTGTGCTGTGCTCTTGTTGTTGTTGTTGCTGCTCCTGCTTCTTTTGGTGATAATATAAATTGAAATTAGTAGTTTAATGCAGGTCCATCTGTTTGTCTGTCCATCTCTAGCCAGCCAGTCATCCATCTGTCCTTTTCATACCTCGGGTTTTTGTAAGGTTTTCTCCTCCCCGTCCTCTTTTATTTTGGTTAAATTTTCTGAACTACTTTCCAATTGCCCAAATGGTGTTGATCGTCCGGTTGTGTTGATGGTGCTGCTGCGATTCCTTCTGGCAATTATCTTCAATTACTGAGATAATGTCTTGCGGAAGTAGTCGCATGTTCTCAGGCAATTATCGATAATGAAGTACATTTCCATTTACAGAATGGACTGAAACGGATGGACTGGCAGATCGTTATGACCATAACGATCGACATACCTATGGAGACTTGACAAATGTTTTTGTCATTTCGTATTTGGTTTTTTTATTATTCGAAAATGACTCACGTCATTCTTTGTTGTCACGAAGATTTTTTTTCAAACACCTATCAAATGGTGGATTAAAAAAAAAGGAAATCAAATAGTGTCATTGTTTTTTGAAGAAATGTTTTTATCTGATCCGAATTTTTTTAAAATATATTTTAAAAAACCTGGCCTCAGAGTGGAATGGTTCGAGGACGTAAACTATAATGTCAGCGCTTCTATGGCAAGCAAAACGAAACTTAGAGATCTCTGAGGTCATCCTCATTTAAATGATTGAACTGTGAGACCAATTACTCCAAAGTAGAGTCGTCAGACTCCAGCCCAGCTCATTTAAATGGAAGTCCTGTAATGCCAACTACACAAATGTAGTAGCCTGTCCGCTAAAGAAGAGGCCTTCCTAACCACCTCTTCTTAAGTAAAGGCTTCGAAGTGCTGGCACTAATGGGTCTACTTTCAAGTAGTGGTCTCTAGGGTATGTTAAAATAGAAACCCTTGGTCAAATTTTTTCTAAAGTGGTGGTGTCTTGGTAATGTTTTTTTTTTTGAAAATTGAAAATATATTTTTTTAGAGAGCAGACCTCAGATTAAAATTCTCAGACTAGAGATCTCTGAGGCCATCTCCTTAAAATTAGTGAAGGTTGAGACCAACTAATCTTAAATAGAGTCGTCTGTAACCAGATTTTTTTAATTAGAATCCTTTGAGGCCAGCTCATTTGAAATAAGGTCCTGTAAGTTGAACTAAATTAAATCGCCGAATTTCTACAACGGAGTCTACTTTCATGTAGTGGTCTCATAGACCGACCAGAGGTCAGCTAAATTAAAAACTTTGCAAAAACTTTTCCCAGTGTAATGAAGGTCTTGATAAAATGGTTCTGAAGTTATTTGGCATTTTTGGAGAAATGTGTTTTTTAAGACCCGTAACATTTAAAAGAGCAGACCTCAGGGTAGAATTTTTAGAAGTCAGCTATTGTCCTCTGAGACCAGCTCTTTTAAAATTTAGATTCCTACAAGGCCGAATATGTTAAGGCTTCGAAGTGCAGCTACTACAGATACTACTTTCAAGTTGTGGTCAGTAAATTTGCCACTTTTAATGTCATCTTTAAATCAGAGTCCTGTGAGGCCAGATAATCCTTAGTAGAGTCCTCGGAGGTTAGCTACTTTAAATTAGTGTACTACGAGACCAGCAACTGAAATGTGGAGTAATCTAAGGTCAATCACTCGAAAGGAGAGCTTTCTGAGGTCAGCTCATTTCAAGTAGAGTCCTACGGAGCTACCTACCTATGAGGCGACCTAATTTAAGATAAAGACCTGCAAAGGCCAGTTACTCCAATGACGTAGCCTCTCCACTCTCCGCTCCACTAATCGTGAGACCTACCAGGCCAGCTTTATAGGCGATACAGTGTAGCTACTACAGAGTCTGTTTAAAAAACTGGTATTTAAAATCGACTGATTTAAAGTAGAGGACACCTCTACTCTGATGAAGCTACCTCTGAAGTGAGGGGTGAATTTTAAGCGAAATATTTCCCAACAAATCGTAGATTTTTAATAGAATATAATTTCCAAAACCCATCAGTTTTTAATGGGCATGGTTCTCTCAATGCGTTTCTGCATAAAAGAGGCCTGTCCCAGACCGATTTATGTGGGTGCGGGATGACTGAGGACTGGAAGCATATACAGCACTATCCTTCGGGAGTGTGTTGTTGATAGGTGGAGCACAAGGTGGACGAACAGTGACAAAGGTAGGGTGACGTACGAATTTATTCGTGACGCAACGTTCGTAGTGGACCGGTCAGACTTTCGCTTCGGCTTAAGTACTGGTTTCTTACTGACGGGGCATGGTTCTCTCAATGCGTTTCTGCATAAAAGAGGCCTGTACCAGACGGATTTATGTAGGTGCGGGATGTCTGTTGTTGATAGGTGGAGGACAAGGTGGACGAACAGTGACAATGGGAGGATGACGTACTAATTTATTCGTGACGCAACGTTCGTAGTGGACCGGCCAGACTTTCGCTTCGGCTTAAGTACTGGTTTCTTACTGACGGGGCATGGTTCTCTCAATGCGTTTCTGCATAAAAGAGGCCTGTCCCAGCAGGGACGTACGCAGGGGGGGAGCCCGGGGGGGCCGGGCCCCCCCGAAATGGAATTTTTTCACAGTAAATTTATGTTTGCAACAGCGAATTTTTTCATTTTGTACTACTGGGCCTTTGGTTGTTTAAGTAGTTTTGCTCGTGAAGCATTTAGGAGATGGACAGCGTTTAGTGTGGAGGTGGTCCTCGTGCATAACGCCCTTGCAGGTGGCTTCGGTCGGTTGCACTGGGTGGTGGTGGATTGGTGCCTGGACTCGCGTCGAACTGGGAGAGGCTTCGGTCTCGAGCCTGAGCGGAGGTTTCCCGTACCTCGGGTTTTGGGTGCCCCTGGATCTGTCGATCCAGCCTGACAGTTGGTGTGTCCCCCTTGGGAGTTTCGCGGGGGTTGTGGTTTCGCCTCACACCAAAGGGGAGAGTGTACCTTCTGATTGGTACAGGACTTCGGTGCTGGTGGGCACATTTCCGCCTGTGGCTCAGCTACTGTGAGGTAGGCGAATAGGCAGGTACTCACAGTAAACTTCTCAATATACTGTCAAGTAGAGGTCCCCAAGCCCGCCTACTTCAAAGTAGAGGACAGTTACGCTAAAGCAGCCACTTTTTCTAAGCAAGTGATCTCTTGGCAAATTACTCTGAAGTAGTTACCTCTGAGGTGTGGTAAATGAAAGTTTTTATAACCAGGAACTATAAAAAGTGGCCTCTGTGGCCAGCTAATTTGAAAATTGATCCAATACTCATCAAACGTGGATTTTTTATTTTAAATTTCCATCAAAGTCTTATTAATTTTTAAAGACGTAGTATTTTTTTAATTAACTGATTTTTTGAGTATTTTAAAAAAATATTTTTTCGGACCTCTGAAGTGCGTAATTTTCAGGATCCATTAATATTGAAAGCCGATTTTTTAATATTTTTAGATCAACTGGGTTTTGATTCTTTCGAAAAATATGTCAGACCCCTGAAGTGCGTAATTTTCAGAACCCATTAATTTTGAAAGGAGAGACAATGTATTTAAATATATATTTTTAAGAAAAGTTCCGAACATTTTTTAAGAGTGGATTTTTCAAAAAGTATTTTTTTTTCATTTCACGATGGTTATTTTAACATTCCCCACCTTCATTGTTTAATGGCAATTGTCATTCCTGACCCACCGCAATCGCATTCAAATGAAATAAAAATATTTGGTGTTTATTTTTCTTCTCCGATTTGTTGACTTGACTGACTGACGACAATCGAACTATCTGGGTGTCTGACTGCCTGCTTGGTTATCATTTACATTTTTTTCCTACTTCCACTCATATTTCTGCAAACTGAACGCCCACAGGAAATGTTACGCTTTTAATTTCCTGTCCTAGGTTTAGGTAGGTTGGCGGCTGTAGTTTACGATGACTTGAAATGCTTGGGGGTTTTGTTGTTGTTGTTGTTTATTTTTTATAGTTCCAGAGAAGTTGATGTTGCATAATGTGTTGTTGTTGCTGCAGTTGTTGTTGAAAGTTGAATAATTGAATAAACTTGCAACATTTATGCCTGACAGCAATGCTGACGAGTAGGTGCGAAGTGTGCCTTAAACCTTTCGAAAAAAATATATGCAAGACTACAAATACCGGTCTACTTATATAGTGGGTTTTGGGACCAACGACTCTTTTCATATCCCCAGGGAATTGTTATAGATGTAAATCACTTATTTAACTTGCAATATTTTAATAATTCAATTTATTTCCTGTTTTCTTCTTTTTTTTCGTTGCAGTTTGTCGATATTGGCATTGTCACCTCAATCGAATCGAATCACAAACAATTGGAAACGGCTCGTAAAGGTCAAGAGATTTGCATTAAAATTGAACCCATACCCGGCGAATCACCAAAAATGTTTGGCCGCCATTTCGATGCTGATGATATGTTGGTTAGCAAGGTAAGTTGTTGGGAATGAACATATTTTTTATCTCTTTTATATAGCAGATGTATTCTGGAGAAAAGTATTTGTCGTCCGGAAGATCCATGCGTCTGTGGAAGAAGTATAAATTTTGTTATACTTGTCATAAAATTGTTAGCTATACAGAAATTCATCCTACATGCCTCTCAAATGGGGTTTAAATTTTCCAGATATCCGCAAAAATGAACCTTAGCGATCGACAGCATTACAAGAACGATTTGTTTACCCACAGATTCCATTTCACATTTTCAAAACATCTTTTATAGTCATCTGAGGCCACCACTCTAAAGTAGGGGCGTCAGAGTGTAGCTACTACTGAGTCTCCCTTCAAGTTATGTTTAAAGTTGAGTTATGAGAATCCAGATCTTCTAAAATATAAGTCTACGAGAGCATCTGCATTATAGTAAGACCTCTCGGGATATATAATGTAAAGGAGTGGCCCCTGAACGGTTGATCCCCTTTAGAAGAACGATTTGATTCACCACGAATTCCATTTCTCTTTTATAAAATCATCTTTTATTAGTAATCTGAGGTCTCTTAAGATCATCTACTTTAAGATCAGAGCCTTCAAATCCAGATGTTCTAGTATAGAGACCTCCTAGATCAAGTAATGGTCTCTAAGACCAGCTATCTTTGAAGTGTTGCTATCAGAGTCCACATGTTTTAAAATATTCGCGAGCATCTCCGTTATAGTAAGACCCCTCGGAATATCTAATGTAAAGAAGTAGCCTCTGAACGATTTACACCCTTTAGAAAAACGATTTGTTTCACTGCGAATTATTTTTCACTTTTATAAAAGCCCATTTATTAGAAATCTGAGGTCACATAAGATCATCTATTTTTAAAGTAGAGCCTTCTGAATGTTCTTCCAGATGTTCTGAAATAGAGAGCTCCTAGATCAAGTGATGGTCTCTAATACCAGCTATCATTAATGTTGAGCTATCAGAGTCCAGATCTTCAAGAACTATAAGTCTCCGAGAGGATGTGTATTATTGTAAGACCCCTCGGGATATCTAATGTAAAGGATTGGCCTCTGAACGACTTACACCCTTTAGAAGAACGATTTGTTTCACAGCGAATTATTTTTCACTCTTATAAAATCCCATTTTATTAGAAATCTGAGGTCTCTTAATATCATCTACTTTTAAAGTAGAGCCTTCCGAATCCAGATGTTCTACTTTTGAGTAAAGACCTCTCGGGACATCTACTGTGACCTCTCTTTTATTATACATCTGAGATCACGTCTGTAAATTAATGATATCTAAGTGCAGCTACTACTGATTCTACAATCAAGTGGTCTCTTCAGATCAGCTACTTTCACAATAGATCCTTCCGAGTCCAAGTGTTCCAAACTTGTGATCTTTGAGACGATCTACTTTGAAGTAGTAGCCTCTAAGGAAAGTTCGTGTAAAGTAGTGGCCTCCCAGAGACCATCGAGGCCAGCTACTCTAAAACAGAAAAGGGACCAATTGTTTTAAATTAGTGTTATCAAAATTCAGATGTTCTAAAATAGAGACATCCTCAATCATTTACTTTAGTGTTAAGACCTCTCGGGACATCTACTCTGACCTCTCTTTTATTAGACATCTGAAGCCACCCTTGTAAATTACCGGCGTCTGAGTGCAGGTACTACTACTGATTCTGCAATCAAGTAATGGTATCTTAAGATCAGGTATTTTTATAATAGATCCTTCCGAGTCCAGGTGTTCGAAAATAGAGATCTTTGAGACCGTCAACTTTAAAGTAGTGGCCTCTCAGAGACCTCCGAAGCCAGCTAATATGGAATAGAGACCAACTGTTTTTAATTAGAGCCATCTAAATCCAGTTACACAAAAACTACCTCCGGCCAGCTACTTCTAAGGCTAGAATCTGAGGTCACCTCTGCGAATTACTGGCGTCTTTGATCAGCTACAACTGCAATCAAGTTATCTCTTAAGATCAGGTATTTTTATAATGGATCCTTCTGAGTCCAGATGTTCTAAACTAGAGATCTTTGAGGCCAACAACTTTAAATTATTGGTCTCTCACAGACCTCCGAAGTCAGTTATTCAAAAACAGTATAGAGACCCACTGTTTTAATTTAGAAGCATCTAAACCCATTTACACAAAAACTACCTCCGGCCAGCTACTTCTAAGGCTAACTTCTGAGGACACCTCTGTAAATTACTGGCGTCTTAGTTCGGCTACTACTGCAATCAAGTGATCTCTTAAGATCAGGTATTTTTATAATAGATCCTTCCGAGTCCAGGTGTTCTAAACAAGAGATCTTTGAGGCCATAAACTTTAAAGTAGTGGTCTCTCAGAGACCTGCGAAGCCAGCTAATCTAATATAGAATAGAGACCCACTGTTTTAAATTAGAGCCATCTAAACCCAGTTACACAAAAACTACATCCGGTCAGCTACTTCAAAGGCTAGCATCTGAGGACATCTCTTAAGATCAGGTATTGTTATAATAGATCCTTTCGAGTCCAGGCGTTTTAAACTAGAGATCTTTGAGGCCATCTACTTTAAAGTAGTAGCCTCTCAGAGATCTGCGAAGCAGGCTAATCTGAAATAGAATAGAGAACTCAGTTACACAAATACTACCTCCGGCCAACTACTTCAACGCTAACTGTTCTAATATAGAGACCTCCGAAGCTAGCTAATCCAAAATTCCGAGGCCAGCTAATCTAAATTGAAGGGCATTTCCGTTAAATTAGAAAAATCCGAGGCCAGCTGATCTAATGGTCACCGATAGCAGCTGCTCTAAAGAACAGTTCTCTGTGGTCAATCCCTTTAAACCGGAGACTTCTGAGGTTCGAGCTTATAAATTATATAACTTCGAGACAAGATTCCTCAGGTCTGCTTCTTAAACATATATGCCTTTGAGGTCAGCTACTCGAATGCAATGTCTTATTAGAGACTTCTGAGGTTCGAGCTTATAAATTATAAATATTCGAGAAGATTTATAATATATAAGCTCTTCGAGATGATGTTATATAATTTATAAGCTCGAACCCCAGAAGTGTCCTATTTAAAGGGACTGACTATAGAGAGCTGTTTTTTAAAGCAGCTGCCACCGCCGATCATTAGATTAGCTGGCCTCGGATTATTCTAATTTAAAGGAGATGCCCTTTTAATTTAGGTTAGCTGGCTTTGAAGCAGGATATGAATTATTTGGATGAGCTGGCTTCGGAGGTCTCAAAATTATAACAGCTAGCCTTTGAAGTAGTAGTAACTCTCAAAGAGTCCTTTGAGAACTGCTCTTTAAAAGCATATACCTTTGAGACCAGCTACTCCAATGCTATGTCTTATGAGGCCATCTTCTTTAAATTTGGTTTATCTGACTCCTAATAATGTAGAGTCCTCTAGAGATAGCTACTCTAAAGTTTAGTCTAGCTTCGCTATAAATGTGATCTACGTGACCAAAGCCTACTAAAGGGTGTATTTTCTATGTCCGACTACTGTTAATTGAAAGCCTTTGATACCCTCTGCTATAAAGTAGTGTTCTCTAGGCCAACATCTGTAGGAAGGTCCTCCCTCTTCGGCTATCTACTTTAATGTAGTGATTTTTTAAATTATACGCCTCCGAGGCCAACTACAATAAGGTCAAGTCCTCCGAGGACAGTTAATCTAAATCAATAGCCTCTCAGGACCGCTACACTAACGATGAGGCCTTCAATCTTCAGCTACTTTGAAGTAGGTCAGTTAATCTAAATCAATAGCCTCTCAGGACAGTTACACTAACGATGAGACCTTCGATCTTCAGCTACTTTGAAGTATATTCCTCTGAGACTATAGCCTTTAAATTAGAGTCTTCTGAGACCTGTTCCGTTAAAATATATTCCTTCGAAGCAAGATAACCTTCATGTAGAGTCCTCCAAAGCCATCTATACTACACTAATGATCTTACAGGCCAGATTCGCTATTAGTGAGGCTTCATTGGCCAGGGGGAAGCTAGAAAATTTTGATACCACATTCAGAGATTTTTTTTTAAATTGAGTATTTTTCGATCAAGTAGCATCTGGAAATCTAAAATAGAACCTTAAAATTAATAGGCGAGAATTTTTAGCACCGTGAAAAGGAGATGATTTTTTTACGCCCCTAATATACAATTTTTTCATATTTTTCCATGGCAATGTATTTTTTCGAGAACCCTTTATAAGCGCGAATTAACAATATATTTTTTTTCGGAATCTGCTACTTTGAAGTAGAATACATTATATTGGGTCTTCTGAGGTCTGCTCTTTCAATAAGTATTCCTTTGAGGCCAGGTACTATTAAAAGTAGAATCCTGCAAAGCCAGATACATTGAAGTAGTAGCCCTTTAGACCAGATTCGCTATCTGTGAGGCTTCTGAGCCTAGGTAGTATCAATGGCCAGCTATTCTAAAGACCTTCAATAAGTATTTCTTTTAGGTTAGGTACTCTTAAAGTAGAATCCTCCAAAGTCAGATACATTGAAGTTATAACCCTTCAGACCAGATTCACTATTAGTGAGGCCTCTGAGCCTAAGTATCAATGTCCGACCAGCTTTGCTAAGGTCCTCTGAAGCCAGCTTCTTTATAATACAAGCATCTGAGTTTATATACTCTACTCTTGTGACCCCAGAAGTCAGTTAACCTATATTAGTGAGCTCAGTTTTGTTATGGAAGCGACCACTGGTGACAGCTACTCATAATTAGTGATGCTTAAGGCTAAAGTAAAGGTCTTTGAGGGCAGCTACCTTTTATTTAGAGATTTAAAAATTTTCCCAAATATATATTTTTTTTAAATTTTAAATACATCTCCTGCGTATTTTTTGAAGATTTGCCGTACGTAGGACCTCATTCGCCGCATTTTTTATTTCATTTTATTTCTTTCCCATAATTCCATTGACGGAAAAACTTCAAGGTAAAATGAAAACCCCAAGGCAAATGGATAGATGAATGGATGTTTGCTTTGCTCATAGCTCACAGTTCACCCCTTCCCACATTCCTCTCTATCTCTCTCTCACTACCAATTTGAATTCCATAGTTGAGTAGTCCTGACAATTGCTTTTAGCAAAGCTGTTGTTAACGTCATTGGTTGCCTTCTACATTTTCTGTTGGCCATTGACTTTTTGGGCTATATGCGCGCACACACACACATACCTATTTATATACATATTTGTATATATATATATATATGTGTGTGTGAGTCGTCTATGTGTACATGCGTTTGTATTGACACATTGACCCAATTATTTAATGTTATATACAACACCTATTTTTAGAATACACATCTTATTTCTGTCGCAATCTCTGTCCTCCTCTACCCCAAACCAAATGTTATTGAGTCTCAAACGCTATTTTCATTCACAACCATTCGTCCTTTGCCATCGAAATTAGTCAGCAGAAAAAAAACGATGCGAAAATGCGTCATTATTTCAATAGTTGAAGGCTATTGGTTTTCTACGTTTTCATTTCTGCAGTCAAAGGACTCTGGAGGTCAAAATGGTGGAGTTTCGATTTTTTATTGTATATATCTCTCATATATACATATAGAACCATAAAAACGTGTGGTGTTTTCAAAAAATATTGTTTTTAAAGAACCCTAAAAAGGCGTGTTTTTTATAAATATTTTTTAAGGACTCTACATACCATAAATATGCGGGGATTGTTTTTTAATATTTTTCAAGGAACCTAAATTGGCGAGGATTTTTTAAAATATTTTTTCTAGGACCCTAACTAGACGTACTTAATTACTTAGCAGGCTTGTGACAGAACTTTCGTTCCATAAGCCGAGTTTAAAAAAGATTTCCAGGCGCGTCAGTCTTTTGCACAGTTTTTCCAATTTGAAGACCATATTTGGCAATGTTTTCTTCCACTTGATCTTTCCATCTTATTCGCGGCCTTCCTCTTCTGCGTGAACCATCAGCTGGTTCGCTTTTATATGCCTTCTGGGCTTCATCCATTCTCACAACATGACCTAGCCAACGTAGTCGCTACAGCTCACTACGTCTAACAATGTCGATGTCCGAGAACTCATGGTTCATTCGACGTAGATATTCACCTTCAACGCAGATCGGCCCCATAGATCTTTCGCATAATTTTTCTCTCAAACACTCCAAGAGCTGCATCATCTGCTTGCGCAAGTACCCATGCTTCAGATCCGGGTAGTATCAGCGTCTTGTAGAGTGTGAGTTTGGTCTGGCGGGAGGTGGCCTTGCTTTTGAGTTTTTTGCTCAGACCCTAGTAGCATCTGTTGGCCATCACTATCCTTCTCCGAATTTCAAAACTGTTGGTCTGAGTCTACTGGACGTCTTGCTTGGTCTTCTCACCGTTTACTGCCAGACCCACTTTGGCAGACTCCTCGATTTGTTCAAAGGTGGCTGTTACCGTTCAGTGATCGACCCATTAAGTCGATGTCATCGGCGTAGGCGAGTAACATGTGTTGTTTGGTGTACAGAGTGCCATTTCTGTTCACCTTTGCATCTCGTATGACTTTTTCCAGCAGGATGTTTAAAAGGTCACACGACAAACTGTCACCTTGTCTGAATCCTCGTTCTGTATTAAAGGGCTCTGAGAGGTCCTTTCGGGCTTTAACTGCTGATCTTGTGCCAGTTAAAGTTATCCTGCATAGCCGTATTAATTTTGCAGGAATACCAAACGCAGACATAGTGCGGATAGTGCTGTCGAATGCGGCTTTATAGTCGACGAATAGGTGGAATGTGTCGATGTGTATTTTGTGTTTTTTTTTTTCAGGATTTGGCGCAGAGTGAAAATCTGGTCAGTGGTGGACTATTCAGGTCTGTCATTGACCATTGGCTTCAGTCGTTCACACAGCATGCTGGATAGCACTTTATATGCGATGGGAAGGGGACTTATTCCTCTATAGTTGGCACATATCGTCTTGTCTCCTTTTTTGAGCACGGGACACAGGATGCAGAGGTTCATCTCTACAGGAGGATGTGCCTGCGCCAAAGCCTTCGGTTTAATGTTTTACCCGTTGGTAGAATTTTCGGAATTCATTCTGACTCCTGTACATCTCGATTTGCCCACGCTCACGTTTTTCTTGTTCTTTTTTCTGAAAATACGTTTCTCCTCTCTCCTTTTCTCCCGATAGTTCTCCATCCCATTAGGTGTTGCCACTTTCCGCAGGATTGCCTTATACGATGCGTTTTTCATATCAGTAGCATTACGGCACTCCTGATCGTACCACGGATTTCTTTATGGTGGTCCTTGGTACCCAAGTGTTGCTTTTGCTGCAGTTTGTAGGGAGTGGGCAATTCTCTGCCATTGTGCTTCTATATTATTACGGTAAATGGGCGTAATTTTTTGTTTAATATCATGTAGGGACCCGTAATAGGAGTGGGTCCTTAATACACGCCCATAATAGGTGTTGATTTTTCAAGTAGTTTTTCTTATATGAACCCTACATAGGCTAAGATTTTTTTCAAAGAGTGTTTCTTAATTTTTTTCTCTTCTCTCTCTCTTTTCCAGATTTCCCGTCAAAGTATCGATGCTTGCAAGGATTACTTCCGTGATGATTTAATTAAGGCTGATTGGGCTCTAATGGTTGAACTGAAGAAACTTTTCCAAATTTTATAAATTGTTTATAAATTTTTAATTTTTTTGCAATATATTTATTTCCTGCTGATGGATGGATGCCTCAAGATTATGATGCGGATTCAAATAATGACCCATGAATACAAAAATAACATTGCTTTCATTTTTAAATCTATCTTTTTTTTTAGTTATGCCTTTAATATCCTCCGTCACTTCCAAGTGAGTGACAGTGGCCTGCCAAGATTCTTACAAAAAATATAAGTTTTTAAAAAAAATCTTCCAAAAAATAAAAACACACAAAATTATAAAGTGATTGAGAAAAAACACAAGAAAGAAAGAAAAAAACTCATTTATGGCAATAAATAAATTATGGCTTACAACAACAAAAAAGTAAAAAAACAAAAAATGGATGTTGTTTTATTTTTAATTGTTGTTATGGCTGGTAGGCTAAACAAGGACGAATACCCTGGAGTATGACCTCCGTGGCTATAAATTTGACCCCAGCCCCTTACAGCAACCGCAATTTACCGTATCTTTCTCATGCCACGTCTACTTTTCAATGATACCATTTCTGTTGAATGACGTCATTCGGAATGAACTGCTATGGTGGGGAGAGGGTGGTGGGTTGTAGGGTCTGTAAATTGTATACCTTGGGCAAAATCATTTAGCTTGTTCATTTCAATATCAATGGACATTTGATGATGAATAGAATGGTCCAAAAATAGATCTATGTGTGTATCCTTTTTGTTTTTGGTACATCACTGTCAATCCATTTATTCATTCATTGTTCTATTCTTTGTGTCATCAAGGAAGTATATATATATATATATGTACATATATATTTGTATATAAGACATGACGTGAAGAGCTGGCGGAGGACAGAGGTACCAGAAGCGAGTGCCGGTTAAGCTTCAAGGATGTTGCCCCAAAATGGTTTGTGCCACATTTTGTATGGCTTCTTTGGCTGAGACTAGAATATATATATGTATATATACATATATATATTTTATATATAAGCAAGGACGATAGATACAGAGATGAATGAAACGCACAAACAAGGCGACAGTACCAAAGGACAAATAAAATCAAGTCAAAAAAGGATATGTACGGCTAAGTAGACCTGATATTATTCTACTCGGAAGGGCTTTATATAGGTATACGTCAATGACTTTATAGAGACGTGGATTTTTTCAAGGACTTTATAGAGACGTGGATTTTTTAAAATTTTTTTTTCAAGACTTGGATTTTTTCAAGGTCTTTATAGCGGCGTGGATTTTTTTCCATGACATTTTAGAGGCGTGGATTTTCAAGGACTTTATAGAGGCGTGGATTTTTTAAGGATTTATAGAGGCGTGGATTTTTCAAGCACTTTATAGAGTCGTGGATTTTTTCAAGGACTTTACAGAGGCGTGGATTTTTTCCAGGACATTATAGAGGCGTGGATTTTCAGGGACTTTATAGAGGCGTGGATTTTTTAAGGACTTTATAGAGGCGTGGATTTTTTAAGGACTTTATAGAGGCGTGGATTTTTTCCAGGACATTATAGAGGCGTGGATTTTAAGGATTTATAGAGGCGTGAATTTTTTCAAGAACTTTATAGGGACGTGGATTTTTTCCAGGACATTATAGAGGCGTGGATTTTCAAGGACTTTATAGAGGCGTGGATTTTTTAAGGATTTTATAAAGGCGTGGATTTTTTTAAGGATTTTATAAAGGCGTGGATTTTTTCAAGCACTTTATAGAGTCGTGGATTTTAAGGATTTATAGAGGCGTGGATTTTTTCAAGCACTTTATAGAATTTTTTCTATTAGAGGTGGATTTTTTCGTTTATAGGAATTTTGTGGATTTTTTCAAGCACTTTATAGAGTCGTGGATTTTTTCTAGGACATTATAGAGGCGTGGATTTTTTCAAGGACTTTATAGAGACGTGGATTTTTTCAAGGACTTTATCGAGACGTGGATTTTTTTTAAGGATTTTATAGAGGCGTGGATTTATCAAGGACTTTATAGAGGCGTGGATTTTTACAAGGACTTTATAGGGGCGTGGATTTTTAAAAAATATTTTTTCAAGGCGTGGATTTTTTAAAAATATTTTTTCAAGGCGTGGATTTTTTAAAAATATTTTTTCAAGGCGTGGATTTTTTAAAAATGTTTTTTCAAGGCGTGGATTTTTTAAAAATATTTTTTCAAGGCGTGGATTTTTTAAAAATGTTTTTTCAAGGCGTGGATTTTTTCAATGCGGATTTTTTTTGAAAATATTTTTTCTAGGCGTAGATTTTTTCAATGCGTGGATTTTTTAAAAATATTTTTCTAAGGCGTGGATTTTTTAAAAAAATATTTTTTCAAGGCGTGGATTTAAAAAAAAATATTTTTTCAAGGCGTGGATTTTAAAAAAATATTTTTTCAAGGCGTAGATTTTTTTAAATATATTTTTTTCAAGACGTGGATTTTTTAAAAAATATTTTTTCAAGGCGTGGATTTTTTAAAAATATATTTTTTAATGGCGTGATTTTTTTAAAAATATTTTTAAGGCGTGGATTTTTTTAAACTATGTTTTCAAGGCGTGGATTTTTTAAATAATATTTTTTCAAGGCGTGGATTTTTTAAAAAATATTTTTTCAAGGCTTGGATTTTTTAAAAATATATTTTTTAATGGCGTGATTTTTTTAAAAATATTTTTAAGGCGTGGATTTTTTTAAACTATGTTTTCAAGGCGTGGATTTTTTAAAAAATATTTTTTCAAGGCGTGGATTTTTTAAAAAATATTTTTTCAAAGCGTGGATTTTTTAAAAAATATTTTTTCAAAGCGTGGATTTTTTAAAAAATATTTTTACAAGGCGTGGATTTTTTAAAAAAATATTTTTTCAAGGCGTGGATTTTTTAAAAAATATTTTTTCAAGGCGTGGATTTTTTAAAAAATATTTTTACAAGGCGTGGATTTTTTAAAAAATATTTTTTCAAGGCGTGGATTTTTTAAAAAATATTTTTTCAAGGCGTGGATTTTTTAAAAAATATTTTTTCAAGGCGTGGATTTTTTAAAAATTATTTTTTCAAGGCGTGGATTTTTTAAAAAATATTTTTTCAAGGCGTGGATTTTTTAAAAAATATTTTTTCAAGGCGTGGATTTTTTAAAAAATATTTTTTCAAGGCGAGGATTTTTTAAAAATATTTTTTCAAGGCGAGAATTTTTTTTAAAATATTTTTTCAAGGCGTTGATTTTTTTAATTCTTTTTTTTAAAGGCGTGTTTTTTAATATGTTTTCAAGGCGTGGATTTTTTTAAAAAAATATTTTTTAAAGGCGTGTTTTTTAATATTTTTTCAAGGCGTGAATTTTTTTAAAATATTTTTTTCAAGACGTGAATTTTTTTAAAAATATTTTTTCAAGGCGTGGATTTTTTAAAAATATTTTTTCAAGGCGTGGATTTTTTTAAAATAATTTTTTTGAAGGCGTGGATTTTTTTAAAATAATTTTTTTTGAAGGCGTGGTTTTTTTAAATATTTTTTGAAGGCGTAAATTTTTTAAAAAATATTTTTTCAAGGCGTGGATTTTTTAAAAAATATTTTTTCAAGGCGTGGATTTTTTAAAAAATATTTTTTCAAGGCGTGGATTTTTTAAAAAATATTTTTTCAAGGCGTGGATTTTTTAAAAAATATTTTTTCAAGGCGTGGATTTTTTAAAAAATATTTTTTCAAGGCGTGGATTTTTTAAAAAATATTTTTTCAAGGCGTGGATTTTTTAAAAAATATTTTTTCAAGGCGTGGATTTTTAAAAAAAATATTTTTTCAAGGCGTGGATTTTTAAAAAATATTTTTTCAAGGCGTGGATTTTTAAAAAATATTTTTTCAAGGCGTGGATTTTTAAAAAATATTTTTTCAAGGCGTGGATTTTTAAAAAATATTTTTTCAAGGCGTGGATTTTTAAAAAATATTTTTTCAAGGCTTTTTCAAGCCGTGGATTTTTAAAAAATATTTTTTCAAGGCGTTTTCAAGGCGTGGATTTTTAAAAAAATATTTTTTCAAGGCGTGGATTTTTAAAAAATATTTTTTCAAGGCGTGTTTTTTTTTGAAAAAGATTTTTTCGAGGCGTGAATTTTTTTAAAAGTTTTTTTCAAGGCGAGAATTTTTTAAAAGATTTTTTCAAGGCGTGAATTTTTTTAAAAGATTTTTTCACGGCGTGGATTTTTTAAAAATCTCATTCATGTTTGCTGTAGGGTACAAATCCACAGCAACCGAAGTGAACAGAAGAAAACCTGTGAAATAACTTGCGCATGCTTTCATTCATGAAAACGTTTTTGTCCGTCCGACAGTTGGTTCGTTCATCATTCATCGATTGCAACGTGTATACAACACGCTGACGACATAACGATGCCGCGTCGCCTCCCGTTTGTTGCGAGAAAAACTATGCTAAATGTGAATGAACTCAGCTGCAACCAACCTTGCCATGTATGCAAGACGCATATAAATCAATCGGCAAAAAAAAAAAAGAAACGAAAAACGATGAATGGAAAGCACACAAAAGTGGATGGTTGGATAGCTGGCTGGTTGGAAGGTAGTTTGGATGGACAGAGAAAGAGAAACGACCAACCAACCAGCCAGCAGTTAAAGAAGCTGCAGTGACAGCGGTAACCAAACGGTTGCATGAATGGAAATTGCAAAAGCAAAAAAAAAAAAAAGAAAAACGTCAACGGGGACAGACGCACAACCAAACTAACAACACAAAAAAAGTGTAAATCTCTTTTGAATGGATGAAAGTGTAATGTTTGTTGTAGCTAGCCCGGTTGGATGTTTGTTGCCACCCAAGTAACTGTGGCACCGGCGAGGCTGCTGCTGCCCGAACTGCTACTATTTTTCTGCACCACCCAGCAACAACCGTTTCTGTAGTTCAGCATGGCATTTACTCAATGAATGAATTTTCATACTGCAGCATTTTCTTCCTCTTCCTTGTCTATGTCTATCTCTTTCTTGTGGCGTTGCCAAGATTTGGGTCAAACTATGAAGTAGCATAAAGGCAATGAACTCCATTGAATCACGCTGCAACTCAGTTAAGGACCGCATTTGCGTAATTCCATAACCATAACCTACCCCAAGATGAA